ATATATATATATATAATTAAATTTTTACATTTAATTTCATATTTAAATTTTATTTTGTTTTTTTTTGTTAATCAAGTTCATTTCTATAACATATTTCAATTAGATAAATTTAATTAGGATATAATATTAACTTAAATTTTAATTTAATATGTACATTTAATTTTTATTTAATTGCAATTAAAATTTAATTAAAATGTTCTATATAAATAAATTCGACTCATTGTTTCAAAAGCAAATCCAAACCGGTGGATTTTTCGTCTAGATTTAAAGGAACTCGGTGTTTCGGCTGTTTTGCAGTTTTCTGGAAGTTTGTTCCAGATTTGTGGTGAATAGAAGCTGAATGCTGCTTCTAGATGTTTGGTACATCAGATCTGTAATGTGTTGTGGTGCTGAGCCGGTCAGTGATTTATGAACTACAGTATTTTAAAGTCTCTTCTCTGAGCCACAGGGATCCAGAGGAGGGACTGTAGAACTGGGTGATGTTCTCTAACTTCCTGGTTTTACTCAGAACTCCAGCAGCAGCGTTCTGTGAAGACGCTGCTGCTGTAACCGATGTGACTAAAGATAAACACATGGATGAGTTTCTCTAGATCTCGCTGAGACGTTTGTCCTCTGATCCTGGAAATGTTCTTCAGGTGATAGAAGGCCGACTTTGTAACTGTCTCTATGTGACTCTGAAGGTTCAGAGCCAGATTTTGGGCCTGGTCTTTAGTTTCCAGCTCTACTAACTGTTGCTGTGATCGTCAGAGCTGACCTTCATCTTGTCCATGATGGCGTTTGTTCCCAGGATGTTGTACTTCTTGTCTGGATTCTCCTCGGCGTGCTTTATGGCCCACGTGGTTTTTCCACAGGCAGGCAGACCAACCATCATCAAAATCTGAAACAAGAAGCAAATAAAAGCTGATTATGTATTTTTCCCAATAAATAATTATTTATTTAATGGTCGACACTTGAAGAGCAGCAAATCCCCAAATCCACATTTTTTCCCCAGATAAGCTGAATAAACTGGGCCTGAAGGCGCCGACTTCATGTTTCTGTGTAAATTATTTAAAGGGGCAGTGATGTGCATCTTCCAGCTATTTCACAGCACAATCTAGTAACTATGTCACCTTCAGATGATATAAAAATACGGTACATTTACAGCTGGAATGAAACTATTGTCAACTCAAATGGGTTGAGCTGATTTGACGCAGTTTCAGAGCCAAAGCCATTTTATTTATCTGAATAAATACGTAATAATACGAGAACAAAGTGGTAAATAATACAAAATTAAGTCATAAAAAATACAAGAATTAAAACATGAATAACACTTCTCATTAAAACTTTCTTCTATTAATGTTGAGTCTCATAAATCAAATTAACTTTTTTACTTTGACTCCAATATTCTGTCACAGACTCATATTCTAATAAATAAATAAATTATTTTCTCAGTATTTTTCTACAGTAATGTAACTCCTGTGTGTATTTAACCAACGCCACGTGAGCAAACCCTCACCTCGCATTCAGATTTGTTGGCAGGTCCCTTTGTGCCTCTGATTTTGTCCTCCATGGGAAGATCGTGGAAGAAGGTGTACCCCTCCTCCGGGGGGAAGTAGGGCTCCCTCTTCTGGCCAAAGTTGAACTCGACGGCGCAGTTCTTCACCAGCACGTGGGGGAAGAGCGCGCGTCCTGCCAGCGCCTCCTTGGTGGTCCGGAAAGCAATGCCCAGGTTCACGCCGTTCTTCAAGAAGCCCATCATTACATCGTCGCCACTTTCAAAATCCTGCAAGTGAAAAGACGGGAAAACAGAAACAGCATTACACAGAGGTTCGGCAGGTTTTACCAGATCCAAGACTTTTGAAAACCATTATGAATGAAGTCCAAGACCCGCGTCACGATAGAGATGTACAAAAAATACTGCATATTTTATCTAGTAGTGCCCGACTTCTTTGCACAGAACTCAGTCAGTCCAGTCAGTTTACACTTACAAATTTTATACTTTAAGGACCAAAATGACATTTTATATCAGGAACATTATTACAAAATCAGACAAAGGAAAAATAGTTTCCAAATCAGTTTATTTCAATAAAAAACTTTAACAGAAACTGCAGGTGTGTGTGTGAGTCTGGTGAATTTATGGTTAAAACTTGTTTTTCATTCAGTGCGAAGAAAATCCAGAAATTTTACTCAAGATTAGAAATACTTAAAGTCACTCAAGTAAAAGTAAAACGCAGCAATAAATAGTCTAAAATAGTGCTTTAAAAAAAAGGTTGCTCTAGTAAATGCAACTGCCCAACTCTGCTAGAGCAACGCAGCATCATCAGATTATTCTAAACTTATTCAAACGTGTCACTTACAATGTAGCAGCCGATTACATCGTTTTCACCAAACTTCTCGCCGTAGTCTGCAAACTTGCAGTCACTAGATTTCTTCCCTGTTCCTCCATATCCGAAAGAAAACGGCTCCTCGCCTGCAGGAAACAAAGAAACATTTTCCAATTCAGAGGCAGACAAGTTTATTTCTACAGCAACAAGGCAGCTCAAAGTGTCTCACACAATAAAATATCAAACATCAATCATGAAACTATGAATATAGCAGCAGCTCCACCAGGTGTCTGCTAATTGCTGCTGGCTAGTCTGAAGGAGCTGAGTGGGGGAGGAGCTGCGTCTTGAAGGCGTTTTTCGGACACCATGTTGGATGTTGACGTTCTCACCAAGCTGAGTGCTGCAGTTGTTGAGGGACCATCCGATCCGGACCACATGTGGGTCGGGCTCGCTGCTGGGCAGGTGCTTCACAGGAATTTCCTCGTTAATCTGAGGAAAACGTAACAAAACGACACAAAGGCTGAAGGAATGACAACACTTTCAGTATGGAAAAATAAAAACAAATGAGCTGCTTCACTGTGACTTACCTTCATCTCGTAGCAAACCCGACCCCGAGTGACCCCGTGGGTCGCTCGGGCGCCGGCCCACAGGTAGGCGAACCCTTCGATGGTCAGAGGATAACCGCTGTACCGATCCCTGGACACCTTGAAGTGCAGGTCACAGTTATCTGACGAAAAGAAAGAGACGTTGTTAAAAGGTTTTAACTAGAGGTGTGCCGATCGATCGGTCACCGATCATAATCGGCCGATTTCCGTGAAAAAGTGTATGATCGGTGATCGCCGATAACGGTCTCTTGTTGCCGATCACACAAACCGATCACCTGCATGTCATTTCGCAGCCTGCCTGTGCAGCTGGTCTCCTCTTCACTCTGCGCAAACGCACAGCAACAAATCCTAAGCGATGTGGAACTTAAACCTCTGAGAGTGAATGTGGAANGAGGAAGAAGAGTAGATTTGATTAAATGTTTCTGCTGTGTTTTCTGTGAAAGTACGTTTTGTGATAGTAGTTGTTTGTCCAAGTGGGTTAACGGATAAAGAACAGTCAAAGATAACAGCAAAGTGATCCGACAGGGCGACATCAGTTACAGAGACATTGGAAATATTCACACCCTTACTGATAACCAGGTCCAGTGTGTGTCCATGAGTGTTTGTTGCTTGTTTGATATGTTGTGTTAGGCCAAAACTCTCTAATATATTGAAGAGCTTTTTTGCCCCTCGGTCTTGGGGGTTGTCAACATGAATGTTGAGATCACCGACAATTATCAAACAATCGTAATCAATGCATATGAGAGACAGAAGTTCATTCAAGTCCGTAAAGAAATTTTCCATATATGTTGGACTTTTGTATAAAGTTATTGTCAAAGTTCGTTTGTGGCCTATTACTTCAATT